TTTTTTTTTTTTTTTTTTTTTGCAGGGGAGTTGGGAGACACTATATTGCCCTGTTTCCACATAACTAGCTCTGAGTATACGTATGCAAGTCAACTTGAAAGTCTCCAGTGGCTCTGTGATCTTCAATGTGTTTGTGAAACTCCTCCTTCCACCTTTTCTTTTCTCGGCCTGGAAGCCTCGAGTCCTTTGAAAAAAACTCAACTTTTGAGGCAGATTTTGGACACACTGTATATACTAAGTTAGCATAAAAATGAATTAGCTAATATCCATCCATTTTCATCTACTTATCTGGGGCTGTGTCGTGGGGGCAGCAGGCCAAGCAAAGCACCCCAGACGTCCCTCTCCCCAGCAATGCTTTCCAGCTCCTCCTGGGGGACCCCAAGGTGTTCCCAGGCCAGATGAGATATGTAATCCCTCCAGTATGTTCTGGGTCTGCCCCGGGGCCTCCTACCAGTGGGATGTGCCTGAAACACCTCTCCTGGGAGGCACCCAGGAAGCATCCTGATCAGATGCCCGAACCACCTCAACTGGCCCCTTTCGACATGTGGGAGCAGCAGCTTTACTCCAAGCTCCCTCCAGATGTCCAAGCTCCTTATCCTATGTCTAAGGCTGAGCCCAGCCACCCTATGAAGGAAACTCATTTTGGCCAGACTTTCCTCCAAGAATCGCCACCTTAGCGTGGTGGAGAGGTTTACGTGTTCCTGTGAACCTGGGAGCTGTGTAGTCCGGGGCTAATACCACCTGGTAGGGTTTGTGGTCCCAGGGAGGCCAGAGCAAAAGTGATTCAAAGAGACCTTGATGACACAGTATATTTGGACTTTGAACACCTCGCTAGTCGCTACCCAAAATGTACTTTTCTGCCATTTCTATCGAGACATTTCTATCCAACCATCAAGAGATGCATTTCCTTGTGTTACAGACATATGGACACAAAACAAAACTGTGTGGAAATGAGCTGTATGGCTTTTTAACTGCACACATACTGGCTTATCACAGTAGCAAAACCTCAGGTGTCACTAATAACATTGACGAAGACTCTACTGGATGGTTCCATTCACGTGTCCCAGTAAACCATGACAGTGTGACAGTGAGCAGGCAATACCAGGACCCTGCAACTGAAGCAGCTACATGGAATTCAGCCATCATTCCTTTGACATGTCAAGATATCTTGATATCTTTTTGTTGTACCTGTGTGAATGGTCTCCTTCAGCTTGGCGTCATGTTCCATGGCCAGCAGAGACTGGTAATAACCCGGGTTGCTCTCCAGTTGTTTCTCTGCACCACTGGCTGCCATCCAAATCCTGGCACGGTGCTCATTGGGCACACCTTTACGCACATACCTTTTCACTTCCAAAACAGATTTCATAAATACATCATATCACCACAGGCGGCACAGAAAAGACAGCAAGAGGAAATGGTGGTGTGTTTGAATGCGTGTTTATTACTTCCTACCTGTCAGGTTCTTCTCCACGTGCGGCTTCTCTTGAAGGAGCTTGGACCATCTCATCGACCTTCTGTTGAGGACGGCCACATACTCATTCATCATCTCCTTGTAGGATTCGAAATCGTGACGTCTCTCAAAGCCATAGGGGTCAATCCTGCCGAGGCAAATCCACACAGTGTGGTACAGATGAATGAGAAAAAGGAACAACTGACAGCTGGGGTCACTTTTCCTCCCCACCCTTCTTTCTCACTCCTATTCCCCGATGACAGACACTACAACAGCCTCCGCTGGGTTGGGTTTCTGTAGCAGGGAGATCAAATACCCAAGCTGGATGATTAGCTAGTTTTAAATTACTTTCAAGTGGGATTAGTAGCAAGGAGCAAAACTCAAGCTCAAAAATAACCTTGAAAAATTTCATATTTTCCACAAAACTATTCTTAGCATTTATATATCACTGAGCTTGATGGTTGGCTTTTCATAACAGCTTTACACGTTTGTGAAGTGAAACATTAAGTGCAGCAAGCTATTGAAGGAAGAGGCTGGTGCAAAGAACTGGTAGAAGAATACACATGTAACCACCACGACTAAAACAAGGCCATGAAGTCAGAGTAAACACCACATCAACACAAAGCTCACCTTTCACTGTCATTAGAACACGTAAGAGGCTGAGAAATGTCTCCTTTCATTTCCATTTCCATTGTGTGTCATGTGCTGCAGGTAAAGTCCACCGAGGCTGTAAACAACCTGCACGGAGGAGCCTATTTCATTTCTCCTCCTTGGGAAAGAACTGCTGGCTGCTGTCAAGGTAAATAACAAAAGCGGTCTGAGTTTCAAATGACTCACCTTACACTTTTCACCGGGAGGAGGGGCTAGTTTAAATAACACCCAGGTAACAACCCCAGGTGCTTTATTTGCATGCAAAACAATTGGAGGAAGAGAAACAGTGATGTTTGCGTGTATGTCCCCATATTACTGTCAATGATTTATTTAAATAAAGGTTTCTGTGGAGCATTAATTCCTCACCAGTCCAAATTTCTCCACCGTAGTCCTCCCTAAGAAATAATTAACCAACAACCAAAAAAGTACAAATTGTTTTAGCAGTTAAACATATTTTCTGTAAATTTAATCTCCCTGCATGATCTGCAGTGTATTTCAAAGCTGTCCTAATGTCAGACAATGTCTTTACTACTCTAACTGAGAGCTCTAGTGTGTAGGATTTAGTGTCATCTAGTGGAGAGGTTGCAGATTCAACTGAAAATTTTCCTCAGTGCAAAGCACGCAGAAGAACGAATGAAGAATGAATGGCCCTGTCTAGAGCCAGCGTTTGGCTCTGTTCTGGGCTACTGTAGAAACAACATGGTGTAAGATGTCCTGCTCCGTATATAGATATAAATGGCTCATCTAAGGGAATTAAAATATAATGACTGAAAACCCACTTATTAATAGTATTCAATTTCTGCCAATAGATGCCTAAATCTTAAACACTGGACCTTTAAAATTACTAGAATTAATAATTGTTTTTGCTACTCTCAAGAGGCCAAAAAATAAAATAAAATAAAATAAATAAATATAAATTAAAAAAAAATAAATGAAAATAAAATAAAGTAAAATGAAATTTAAAAAAAAATTGAAATAAAATAAAATAAAATAAAATAAGAAAATGAAAATAAAATAAATGCCCATTTAATTTTTCCCCTCAAACAGTCACACTGTAGAACAAAAAGCTCATTTTATGATTATTACATCCACCAAATTACCAGAAATTATTCCGAGGACTAGGACTGCAAATAATGATTATTTCCATTGTCGATTAGTCTGCTAATTATTTTGCTGCTCAATCACTTAGTTGTTGTCAATTATCAAAGATGTCAATCAGTGTTTACAAAAGCCAGAGATGACGTCCTGACATGTTTTGTTTTGTCAACAACCCAAAGATATTCAGTTAACTGTCATAGAGGAGCAAAGAAACAAGAATATATTCACATTTAAGAAACTGGAATTGGAGAATTTTGACTTTTTTTCATTAAAAAAAAAACAAAATCACAGATTATAGATGGAGTTGAGGAAGTCCTGTATCTGGACTTTGTTTTTTTAATTTTCTTTGCCCTTTATTTACTTTATACGCATGTAATACACCTATATTTTGTCCTGTTTACATGGTCGAGTTTTCCTGCATCTGTGAACTTATCATTTCAAAACTCTTTCCTGTAAAATGAAACGAGTGCTGACACTACAACATGATGTATGTAATTTCACCTTTGGCTCAGTAAGAATACTCAGATTGATTACCAAATTAGTTGGTAATTAAATTAACAGTTGAAAACCAGTGGTGATCTTAGACTCTGGGGGACCCCAGATAAAGAAGCCCAACAAGGTCATACATTAGTCAGAAGGGGACCAATTTAGGGTTTTTTGGGGAGCGGGGGCTGCCCAGTCATTTGCCTGGTTTGCGTCTTCTCATGGTCTGTCGCTGTTGACAATCAAGATATTTATTGTTGAAGCTCTGCTGTGGACATATCCTTGTTGTCCGTAAAGAAAATGGCCATTCAAGTCTGTGTTTGAGAACAACAGTAAGGTGCCCATATGTAAACTGAAACTGGTTTTACTTGTTGTTATTATTCCTCCCGTTCATACTGACCACTAAAACATTCCTTCCTGATGAGCTTCCAATGGAGGTGCAGGGGAACAAAGCCCACAGTCCTTTGGCACCTGACTATTTTTCTGTAAGGCTTTAAGAAATGTGAAGCTATCCTGGTAGCTGCTGCTGTGTGGAGCGAGAACAGAGACATAAAGTTTTGGCATCCAAAATAAAATTTGACATTGAAAAAGGAGACATTGGCATCAAAAAAAGCAAAACAGGCATTAAAATTATTTCATTTTGATATTTTTTCATTCTGATGTAATTTCCAGTGACGATTTTGAGATTTCATTATGCTGATTTTTCCCTCCACTTTTCTGTTTTAACTTTCTGTCACCACATGGAAAGGAGGAGTTTGAGTAGAGAGACAACAACAGTGTGATTTACATATAATCTACATACTGAGGAGAACGTCACACTTCTGGCCCCACACAGTCCACTCTGAAGCCTCTGACTTAAGACACTACACATTTGTCATATGTAAAAATCTTCCATGAGTTCACCTGAAACTCTGAGTGTTTCTCTTTGATGTTTTTTTTTTTTTTTTTTTTTT